GGCGGTGGATCGCTAGGGTTTGGTGCTGGTTGCCGCTGAAGAGGAGGAGGTGGAGGAAATTGATACTGCTGCTGATGCGATTGAAGATGGGGATACGGACTGTAACTCGCCATTATAAATTTTCTCTTTTATTTTTATTTTTATTTTTATTTTCTTTTGAGTGAGTTTGATCCTCGAGAGAAATCTCGTTCGAGGTTGAAGGAAGGAGCCGATACTGACGCGGGTAGGGCTTTCGATGGATCGGGTTTGGATCACAAAGAGGATGCGGGATTGGCATGGGCTGGGCCTTGGGATGCAAACGGATCGGATGCACATATGGATACGGGTGTTAGTTTGTAAGAAGAAGTTTTATCCGCATTTACCAAAATCGGATATCATACAAGAGTTAAAAAAAAAACATAGTTCATACGATACCAGGGTACATTGATACGTTCATTAACATAAAATTAGACCTCTTGATCATTAAAATTAATCTTAGATTTATTAATATAATGATTAAAACAATTGCAACTGCATCACCAACATATATTACGATATTCGAATAAGTCGGATATTTGACTACATGACTGTATATCTAGCCATATCCTATTATATATAACCATCTATACACGGTTATGAATATGAGTAGTAATAAGTTCATACCACTTTGATGCTATCACAAAAAAAAAAAAAGGAGTCAGGATAGGTCACCACCTTTTTTTTATTGTCACAATTTTTAAGGAAGGACCCGGTCTTTTATTTGCGATAGTACCAAAGTAGTATGGATGTTGCAGTGCACTTATCCTTTTTCTAGGGACTAGGTGGAATGCACGTGCACTGTACGTGGTCAAATATTTTAATTATTTACTTTAAGTTTATTTATTTACTATAACATGGTTATAAAAAAGTTTATAATTATCATAATATATTAATTCTTTTTATATTTCCATGTGTAAAATCTTGTTAGATTTAACATTTTGTCTTCAAGAGAAATAATGATGTTTAAAGCCTTAAAATATTATTGATTTAAGATTAATTAGCAATTTGAATGTATGATTTCAAAATATTAATAATGTAAGGGACCAATATGGGAAAAAGCTATTATTATTAATGAAGAAAACAAGTTCTTGAATTCATTAAAGAAAATGGTAGGTTTTATCCAATCATTAAGGATTTAGTTTAGTTATAAAAAAATCATTTCGACCTATTGTTTACTTCCACTTATTGCTTATCCAGCGACATAGTATTATATATATTCAAGAATTTTTTTTTAAGAATTTTCTAGCTTAGAATGTGCAAATTCAATCAAGAATGAAAACATAAACTATGTGATCAATTCCAAAATATGATATTGTACTCTTTTTACATTTCAACAACTATTAATTAATCTGTCAAAGCGATTACTCTCTAGTTTCTATAAATTATAAAATATACTTTGAGAATGATTTATACATATTATGCACTCATATTGATTGTATTTTAACAAAATAATTCATATCTATCCAATGTCAAATAATATCCAAAAAATTATGTTAAGGAATTAGAAGAATACAATTTTTGCAACAATACTCATATCCAAGCTATGAGCTTCATAAACTTATAAGAAGGTGGGTAATATAAAATGACAACTTAATTTACTTTATCCAATAATTTATTATAAATCATGAAAGACGAGGGGAATCAAAATGATCGCATACCCACCCAAATAAAGATTAAGTTTCTCTTAGAGATTTTTATAGCAAAATATTTTTAAAGTTGAAGTATAGGATAAATTTAAGGACAAATAACCCCAATCAATTCATTGAGTGATGATCTTGCTATAAATTTCACTCTTATCAAATTGATGTCACATGTGCCTTAAGTTGTGCTTTTGGTTAACGATTGATTTTGAAAACTCCTCCTCAACCATGGGGTGCATGTCAACCCCC